GATAGCCTTGGCGCGCTTCTTCGCATCACCAGACTTGAAGATACCGGAACCGACGAACACTCCGTCGCAGCCTAGCTGCATCATGAGTGCGGCATCAGCAGGAGTGGCAACACCACCAGCGGCGAAGTTGACAACGGGAAGACGGCCCTTCTCGGCGGTCTCACGCAGAAGCTCAAAGGGGACCTCAAGCTCGCGCGCGTAGGCGCGCAGCTCAATCTCGGGGTCGGTGGAGTTCTGGAGGATGGCACGGGCGCGGGCGATCTGGGAGTTGACAGTACGCATGTGCTTGACAGCTTCAACAACGTCTCCGGTACCGGCCTCGCCCTTAGTACGGATCATGGCGGCACCCTCAGCGATACGACGGAGGGCCTCGCCCAGGTTGCGGCAACCACAGACGAAAGGAACCTTGTAGTCGTGCTTCTTCACATGGTAGACATCGTCGGCAGGGGTAAGGACTTCGGATTCATCGATGTAGTCAACGCCAATGGCTTCGAGGATCTAACAATTACAACATGTCAGCTGCTATGCAGACTAACGAGGGGAGCAAGACGGCCTTACCTGGCACTCAACAAAGTGTCCGATACGAGCCTTGGCCATGACAGGAATGGTGACAGCAGCCATGATTTCCTTGATCATGCTGGGGTCAGACATGCGGGCAACGCCACCCTGGACTCTGATGTCGGCAGGGACTCTCTCCAGGGCCATCACGGCAGCGGCACCGGCCTCCTCCGCAATGCGGGCCTGTTGCGAAAGTCACATTAGCGTCGAAGGGCTGGAGTTATGGGTTGACAATTGCTCGTACCTGCTCTGCGTTGACGACGTCCATGATCACACCACCCTTCAGCATCTGAGCCAAACCGGCCTTGACGGTGAAGCTGTTGGAGGCGGAGGCGCCATTGGTACCGTTGGAAGCCATTGTGTATATTTAGAAGGGAAAGGTGGTACTAAGAGAAATGAAAGAATGAAGGAGAAAAATATACACGAGAAACAGTAGAAAGGAGAGAGTGAAAAAAGCCCCAGCAAAACCGAGTTCTTAAGAAAACCGAAGACGGACCTGTGAGTGAGTGTGAGTCAAGATAACTAACCTCGATCGTTGCCTTGTCGCCTCCGAAGAACCACAAAATTCCCGTATCCATCACCCACACTTTCATGTCCCCGCCGAATTAGGTCCTCTTTCCATCCGGCCGCGGCATAGCAAACCAATCACAGTGCCTGTGCCCCTCCATCTCCCCAGTAAGTTTCCAGCGTCAATCTGCCAATCTGCGAAAACGCCGCTTGGCGGGCGGTTTCCCGCGGACTTGGCCTGAAACCGTCAGGAACAGCTGGAAATGCCAAGCTTTGGCTTCTGCGAAAACTCTATCTCTACGGTATTTTTGGTAATGTCAGAACGGTCTCGAACTAACTGCCAAACCCTGGATTCATTAGTAATCCTTCATCTGATATTGTTGTCAGCTGCATGTTGAGTAGGAGTGATATGACCCGACGAGCATGATGCCAGAGGGCTGAACCTCGGTTTTTTGGACTTCATAGGGGTTCTGAATGAGGGGAGTGGAATGCAAAGCAAGATATGCCACTGCGTTCGATGCATGATAGCTACCTGATGCGGAGAGTATCCCATCAACTAGCTGTTCACGTCGTCCACATTATTAGTAAACATGGCATCTCACATCAACTTCCTCTTTTGAGATCATGAATTTGATGCAATACTGCTAGCCAGAAAGACAAGAATGAGCATCAACCCATGGACGAGATATCTAGAGAGGTAGTAGTCCTAGCCTCATCCCCGAATGCCGTTAGCCAGAAGCTGACCGTCCATTGACGTCACAGCAATGTCTCTCCATCGCCGCATGCCGACGCGAACACTCCAGCTTCATTCAACAAGGATCCTGACTCCCCAGTCCAGCTTCTTTTCTATACACATCTAGACCATTAATCTGTTTACAACTCTACAGCTTCGCCTCTCAGATACGAAGACATGGCATCCGGTCTTCTAAGCGGTTTCGCTCGAACCTCCACCATCCTCGGCGTCGGTCTGGGCCTGTCCTTGTCGCTACACCCCTTGTCTCCATTCCGTGCTTCCCCAATGCAATGCCAATACTCAGCCCCGTACTACAGACTCGACACGCAAAATAGCTCAGGATCCGGCTGGACCATCGACCGCAATGACCCGGCCATCGCCAAGCAGGGGCACACCGGCCACCGCACGGCATCCGGTATTCTGACCGCTTCCAATATGCGCCAGGTGAGCTTGGGGAGTGTGCTTGGGCTTGTGGTGGGCGTGGGATTAAGGGCGTTCTCGAGAGTGTTGGTCGTGCTGCTGGGAATGGGGATTGTTGTGATTGAGGTATGTGGATCCGCAGCCATTGTGTGGCTAGTGGTTGTGAAATGGTGCTAACCAGGAGGTGCGTTGTAGTGGGCCGCTTCGAAAGGATACAATATCCTCCCTGTTCGGACGATACAGAAGTATGTCAAGTCGGTGGATGTGCAGAAGGCTGTGACCCAGCATATGCCGTTCAAGCTGAGTTTTGGGGCCACAATGGCACTGGCTGCGTTTGCGCAGTTCTAAATGCAAAAACGAACATACCGGACGACCCAGGTTTTCTTGGCTGGATTCGCGTTGTGTAAAATACTCAGAAAGAGAAAACTGGACGGCTTGGTGTGTGATGAGAACCTTCGAGATAATCTTTATCAGTCATGTCCCTCAATTGTGATATACAGTGCTATACAGGGGTATCATGGGTTATGCAAAGACACCACATTATATCTCCTCCATCACCCCAATACCAAATCTTCCAGGACTCCCTCTATTTCTTCTCGCGACAACGGTACTCCCAGTATTTCCATTCCGCTCGTGTCCATCCGCGATGTGATCATCTGATGGTCATGGAATTCCTTCAGGAGTGTTCGAAACATCATTTCGGAAGATGCGATAAACTCCTCGGCAGCCTTTTGGTAGAGCATGCGGAACTCAATGCCCGTCTCATCGTTGACCCCGTCTTCTCTTCCTGCATGGCCGTCCATCTCGTCATCCGAATTATGACCTTCGTCCATCATACATAGCAGTTCAGTGAGAAGCAATCGATAGAGATTCCGCGCGTTCTCCGGAAGACTCTTCAACACGAAGCCAACACCGTCTTTACCACCAATGCGACGGCCCTTGCGTCCAAGCAGGTTGTGAACCTCTTCCACAACATCAAACTCGATGTCAAAAGCGGCAAATGCTGTGCAGTCGTGAAAAACGAAATTGAACTGATCTTGAAGGCTGATATCCCACATCAACAGAAAATTCGGGGTATCCGCCGTGGCAAGTAAATGGATCTTTGGCGTCGCAGCCAACCGCGCAAGGAGGGCTTGGTTCGTTGCTCGGCGGAGGGGAGGGGCATCGATTGCATTGATCAGTACGGTGATCGGTTTCTGGGAGGGTCGAGACTTCAGAGCAGATTGCAACAATTCTAATACCTCTAGTGGCTGAGACCCCATCTTCGATGGAATGTCCGCACCTAGGACAGCGGTCACGATGGTGGCGAAGATAGATCGAATGGACAGGTTCGGAGTATGCCCGTTGACGACTACTATAGAGGGGGGTGAGGCGCTGTGTCTCTGGTAGAGCCAGTCTGCAAAATCATTAAGAAGCTGACGCTTCGAGCCGTAACCGTAGAGGCAGATGTTGAAGTCTTGATTGAACTCAAAATCCCACTGCGGAAAGGACCGACAATGCAGGTCCAGCAGAAAGTTCTTCTCCTTCTGGCAAGGGTCTGCATATCCGGCCAACTTCTCAAAATACTCCTCGTGTGTCAGGAGATTCACTTTGTTGAGGGTATTATTTGACGTCCGCGGAGGGCCGGCTCTGTTCTGGAAGAAATATCGCTCATGTGCCGGCAATTCTCCCTCGGGAGTAGGTGAGCGCTTATTTTTCGCACCTTTCGGCCTCCCTGCACGACGTTTCGGCGTCGTTGTAGTCTTGCCCTCGGCTGCCTCTTTCGTGGTGCCTTCAACCGTTTGGATAATCCCGTCGCTATCGTCTACAGCGATCTCAGGTGCCTCGCCCTCATCTTCCAGAATCTCCTCTGCTAAACGGTCAGCACCGTCCCAGATCTCGTCCTCATCCTGCTCCAGCAACAAGCGAGCGCTTTTCTTCTTCGCAGATCGGTCCGCATTTCGTGCTCGGTTTGGCGTCGAAACCGCCGTCGCTTTTGTAGGTGTTGAGAAGAGAGCTTTCGCCTTTGATCTATGCGTGGGAGTTTTCAGGCCTGATTCCTTCAGCGGTGCGGGAGTTGCTGAGCTTGGCTTTTGTGGTGTTGATTTGACCCGTTTCGAGGGCGTCATGTCGAGGGATCGATTCGCGTCCGTATTTCCATTGGTAGAGCCATTGATCATCGCAGTTGTTCTCTGCCTCTTCGGCGTCGAGACAGGACGCTGCCCATCGTCCGAGTCTGGTTGCTTTCGTTTCATTTTAGTAAGAATGTACCAATCACAACATCGCCAACAAAAGAAAAACGGAGATCAAGTACCATTCACGCGCAACAAAGGCTTCGATCGATTCGAGAAGGGGAGAACAAAAGGCCGGGAAGCAAGGGGTAGGCCGTGGATGTAGAGCTATGTTCAGCTTGAATGAGTTCTGTGTCTTTAGCCGCGTCTGGAACGCGACAAAACGAAGCCAGCGGGGGCTGTTTCTCCGACTCCCGCGATATCGGATCTCCATCATCAACGGGGAATCTGGGAGCGAACTATCTCACGATTTACCACTGGACTAGGGTTTCTGGCCTATTCAGAAGCTTGACAGGGGCCGATTCTGCCGTGTAATACGGCATTGGGGTCGATATTAGCTAGACAGGTCCGACTTGACGTTTAATTGCCTGAGTCACTTGTGAGTCACTTTCCGGCACCGATACTATATCTTCCCTCATCATCTACCGTACTCCAATTGAAACAGCAATTGAGTGGAGTTGCGCTTTCTCGAACTGTTGCTGATTCTGTACAGACGATATTTGAAGATATTCATGGTTTCTCCAGCTCAGCCCGCAGCCGCAATGGCTGCTTTCGCCAGGATGGTGAAGGGCCAAGTGCGCAACTACTCTGCTCCTCTGGACATGGCCATTCCCGCCTCCAAGCAGAAGTATATTCCGTCCTCTGGATCCTACCCAAAGGGGTTCCTCGTCTCCGGTACCAATGTTGGTGTCAAGGCCTCCAACACCAAGTTCCCGGACCTGGCATTGATCTCCTCCGAAACCCCATGCTCAGCTGCTGCGGTTTTCACGACAAACAAGTTCCAAGCGGCCCCTGTTCAAGTCAGCAAGAAGACGCTTCAGAGCCGCCAGGGACAGGGCATTCGATCGGTGGTTATCAACTCGGGCTGCGCCAATGCGGTCACCGGTAAGGGAGGTCTGGAGGATGCAGTGAACATGGGCAGCAAGGTGGACGAGTGCAACAGACTCAGCGAGCCCAGCACGCTCGTCATGAGCACTGGCGTCATTGGACAACGGTACATTCCTCTTCCATACTGTCCGACTTTGCAAAATGCCATGAAAATCTGACTAGCCATGACCTGCCAGACTTCCCATCTCCAAGATCCTTGACAAAATCCCCACGGCACACGCAAACCTCGCATCCACGCACGACGCTTGGCTCACCACCGCCCGCGCCATCTGCACAACAGACACCTTCCCGAAGCTGCTCTCGCGAACCTTCACCCTCCCCTCGTCCCCCGGCCGCACCTACAGCCTCGCCGGCATGACCAAAGGCGCCGGCATGATCCACCCGAACATGGCCACTCTCCTGAGCGTGCTCTGCACCGACGCGCCCATCGACCCCTCCGCCCTGCAGTCCCTCCTCAAGCACGCCGTCTCGCGCTCCTTCAACTCCATCTCCATCGACGGCGACACAAGCACAAACGACACGGTCGCCATCCTCGCCAACGGCGCCGCCGGCGGCGCCCCCATCAGCTCCCCCGCCTCGGACGACTACACCGCCATGCAGGACATCCTCACCTCGTTCGCTCAGTCACTCTCGCAGCTCGTCGTCCGCGACGGCGAAGGCGCCACCAAGTTCGTCACCGTCCGCGTCCAGAACTCCCCGGACTACGAGTCCGCCCGTCTCATCGCATCTACCATCGCCCGGTCCCCGCTCGTCAAGACCGCCCTCTACGGCCGCGACGCCAACTGGGGCCGTATCCTCTGCGCGATCGGGTACACGCAGGGCTTGGCCCCGGGCACGGTCGTCCCTGAACGTACGAGCGTCAGCTTCAAGCCTGTTGACGGGAGTCCCGTGCTCAAGCTGCTTGTCAACGGCGAGCCGGAACAAGTCGATGAGGAGCGTGCCAGTGTCATTCTTCAGGAGGAGGATCTGGAGATCGTCGTTGACTTGGGTGGTGGTGAGAAGGGTGAGCAGGGCCTGGGTGGTGAAGAGGCTGTCTACTGGTTCTGCGATTTTAGCCACGAGTACGTGACTATCAATGGAGATTACAGGACTTGATTCTAAGCAAGTGAGGAAATATACCACGGCACGAGATGTGATATATTCGTATATATACCCAACAATTCAACAACCCAAACCATTCTGTGCTGACGCCTCCAATGTGTAAATATTTAAGTGGTCAGATGTGATCTGATTTGAACTCTTTTGTTTTCTAAATATGGTTACAAACTGAATGGAACGCTATGTACAGTTGTGGCTCTCTTTTTGACGGAAAAAATCCCAGCATGCAAGAACTCCCAACTCTGTGACAGTAATACAATCATACATGCAAAACCCTGATATTTCAGTCGTAGATTCCAGCCACAACAGCGCATCCATCCAGAAATCAACGACGAAGAATCAAAGGAAATTCGATAAAAATTCAGATTCCTTTCTCATACTACTCATCAAGGCGTCCCCTGCTCAGTTACCGGGAACAAGGCCCTTGAGGCCCGATCCGATATCGCCTTCACGAGCGGCAATTTCAAAGTAGCCGTAGATGATACTAGATAGAGCTTGCGTTAGTGACAGGATCTCAACAATGATTGGCAATGGATATACTCACGTCACGGCCAGGAGGATACCAGTGCCGCTGCCAAGGGCGCCGAGCAGGTCGGAGGCGACGGAGAGGGCACCAATGCAGGCACCGCCAAAGGCGGCAGCAGTAGGAATGATTCTCTTGAGCTCCTTGTACATGCTCTGTTCACGGTGGCCGGCCATCACAAGACCCTGGTCCTTGAGCTGCTTGGCGACATCGCGAGGGGCAGAGCCAGAAACCTCGATCCAGGTCTTGGAGAAGAGGGCGCAGGCGACCAGCATGAATGCGATGTACACAGCCGTGTGAATGGGGTCAAGGAGAGCCTCCTTGAAGTTGAGGGGAGGGGACATGTAGTAAGCTATACCCGAAGCAGCGTGAAGCTGGGCAGAGCCATCGCGGGGCTCCCAGACACCGAGGAGTCTGACGAGGAGGTTGTCGGAGAAACGAGAATACAGCATCTGGCTGACGAGGAAGATGTTGGAGCACAGAGCGGACTGCAGCATGATGGGCATGTTGGAGGTGTAGAACAAGCGGACGGGGTAGGAGCCACGCATGCCACGCTGACGGGAGGACTTGACGGGGATCTCAACGCGGAAGCCCTGAAGGTAGATGACAGCAGCGAAGACGAGAAGAGTAGCCAGCAGGTTCATGATGTTGGGCAGGTTCTGGCGGTAGAAAGCTTCGCGCAGAGCACGCTGCTTGTCGGGCCAGGTCAAGAGCAGGTGGAAGAGAGCAATGATGGCACCCTCAAACTCGGGACCACGGCCAGTGTTGATAGTAGTGGGAGAGAAGGCCTTCCAGACAATTGACTCGCAGATGTTGGTGGCAATGAAGAGGGAGATACCGCTTCCAAGACCGTATCCCTTCTGGAGCAGCTCATCCAGGAGGATGACAACCAGACCAGCGACGACGAGCTGAACAATCAGCAGAACACAGATACCGGCACCAAGATCACTGGGCTGGCCGTAGAGACCAGTCAGCACGTAGACACAGGCCTGGCCGAAGGAGAGGATAATGGCGAAAAGCTTCTGGGCGGTCTGGTAAAGTTCGCGATCGGTCTTGAGGTCAAGGTTGACATCGATGAGGTGGGTACCAGCGAGGAGCTATGACAGAGACCAATTGGTTAGCTGCTGGACTATTTCCGAGAATCGGAAGCAAACCGGCTGAAAACATACCTGGAAAACCATGCCGGAGGAGATGATAGGGGTGATACCCAGCTCCATCAGGGTACCACGGTTACTGGCCAGCATCATACGCAGCCAGTACAGGGGGTCCGAGGTGTCGGATGAGACAATGCCGTAAAGAGGCATCTGACTCATGACCAAGAAGATCAACAACGTCAACTGCCCCAGACAGTCAGCGATTCAGTCCCCCGTTCGCGATCCATCAGAATGAACAGCAACATACCCCCGTCCACATCAACTTCTGGTTGAAGGGCACCTTGGTTTCAGGAGCTGCCACCTCCGGCAGGAGGGGCGTGAAGGGCTTGATTAGATCAAGAAATCGAACTACAAGTCAAACACCAGTTAATATGGATCAATTGGCCCGAAAACGAGAGCTATCGCGATGGGGAATGCGCTCGCGTGCAGAGACAACTCACGTCCGCTCATGGTGGCTGTCGACCTCCCGTGTCAACCAAAACAATTATGGGGTGGAGGAAAGAAAAGTAAAAACGAAGCTGGAGCTATAAAGCCAGCCGAAGGAGCGAAAGGTGTTGAAAAAGAATTACCTAGGAAGAAGGAGAAGAGAAAAGAAGAAGGGGGGGAACTGGAATTATTGCACACAAGGAGGGAAGAGGTGAGGTTCGAGGAGGTTTGGTTTGGGGCCCGAAGCAGAGAGCACTAGGACCAAGACAGTAGACGCCTCGCTGGCCACTTTACTGTCTCCAGCCACGCTAACCCCGTTGAGGCCACCTGGTCTTCCCCGTTAATACCACTCCACATAATTCATGGTGAGGATTGAGGAATTGTGGATGATACTACTATCCTGATATTCAGATGACTCATTGTAGATGCATTATGCAGTGCGTGGATGCAGCTTGACCTTGAGGGATATCCCACACGCTTCACTTTGAACTCCCTCATTAACCGACTCACACTACGGGCATTTTCGTTACTTAACTAACGTCCTTTGACTGGAATCTTTCTAGTGGACTCGCTCCCTTCTGATGTGCTATTTCCCTCATCAAGGGATTCGGTTGAAGTAGTATATATCTATGGACCACATTAGTGGCATAGAAGCGGTGATATATCCGGATATCCTAGCTCGCAGACTCCGTGATACAGTCTTGCGCAAAATCAAGATCCGACAAGACTAAGACAATCGTCGACAACCAGCTCAAGCTCACTCAGCCGCAGCTTCAAGCCTCTATTCTCCTCCTTGATGACGCCGAGGACGCCCCATGCCTCCGAGGCGGGCACCCCATGGCAGATATTACATTTGGACGTGTGACCCATCCACGAACTAGTGATACCCGTAGAGGCAAGTCCCTTCAGAACGCGGTCGTACGTAGACTGGCGCACCGGTGGCGCCTGAGCCGGTTTCAACTCTTTTGTACTCGGCTGTATAGGGGTCGACGTCGGGATAGATAGAGCGATTTGAGATATGTTGGGCGACGGTGCGATCGTGGAAGTTGGTGATTCAACGCCATCACGGCGTGAGAAGATACTTTCTGCGAGGCTCTCATCGCCAGAGTCGAAGCCCGAATCGCTCGTATACGTGCCATTGCTGGCTCGCTTCAAACTGCGTTTCGGTGTCTGCAGTTCAGCCCCGATGTCGGAAAGGCTCTCTTCGTCACTCGACCTAACAAGCATCACGCTGCGTCGACGCGCGTCATCTTCTCGCCGGCGCAGTTGCCTTTCCTGCTCGAGCTCCTCGGCCATGGCCCTCATGGCCTTTTCCTGCTGGAGCACCTTCTCCGCCATCCCATCAAGCTGGACCTTCAGGTGTCCGACCCGCGTTCGAGTTTCTTCCAGTTCTTCCTGCTTTTCGTTCTTCTCCGCCAAGGCTTCGTGCAGGGCGAAAGTCCTCTGCTTATAGGCTGCCTGCAGCCGTCTAAGAAGGTCATCGGCGTTGGTTCGTAAGGCACTGAACGCTTCTTGTCCGTCGAGGTCGAGGGATTCTGGTGGGAACAAGGCAGCAGCTATGTCCATATTGAGAATCTCATCATCTGCAGGTTCGGGAAGCTCCGGTCGGCCCTCTCCCTGGCGCTTGAATACAAAGAAGTTGAACGGATTCGTCGATGTAACTTGCTTGAGTGGTGAAGAGGCGCCGGAACGCTTTGATGCACGATTCAAAAATGTCCCAGAGGGAGAAAATCCCAGGACATCCTGGTCCGCTGACTGGGGCACCATGGTCAGATTCACCGGCTCCGACTTGCCCTGAAACCAACCCGATAAGAGTCTCGCGCCTACTTCGAGTGTCTTTCTGGTAGAGTTCTCGGACGCCGGACTCGAGGACCTGTCTCCGTCGACTAAGTCTTCGTATGTTTTGGGCTGATCTGCAAAGAGCTGCTTGACCGATAGGTGCGGTTGCCGGCGAATAATCTCAGTATTTGCCCGACGGTGGAAAGATAGATGTGCGGATGTAAGACGGTTTCTCCCCGGCAGTGGGGTTAATGTATCGGTTGTCTGTGATGATGGAGTCGGAGGAGTGTCCACCGCGTTCTGGTGGGAGGGCTGAATATCTTCGTCCGACTGACGGCAGTTATCCTGAGCAACAGAAGAAGCTGGAATTGAGGTAGGTTCGAGGTTGTCAATGACGACAGCAGTCGAGCCTGGCATCGACGAGTGATCACAGTCCTGGAGCATCGTGGAGCTCAAGCTTTGACTGGTCACTGGTCACTGGGTGATAGGGATATGGCCAGGAATGGTAAAGGTATGCAAGCGATTGCACCACTTGGACAACGGCTGGAATGCCACGTCGATAATTGCCCGTTCAGTCCAATAATACACGGTTACCCACGTCAACCATTGAAGCGGAAAACAAAAATAGTGAGGGACAGATTCGGCTACTTTGCGCTCAAGCCCGTCACATATGACCGAGAGATCTGCGTAAATGTGCGGAGAGGTAGGTAAAAGGGTGCAGCAATGATAACATGAACCACCTGGAGAACTTGAAGGATCAGATTCAAGGCAAATTGAGTCAATGCAGCCTTAAGGAACGTTAGAAAAGGAAATGTAGCAACAGTACGGAGTAATCAGTCTAGGCTGGAGGGTGGGCGATGATCACAACGCCAAGCGATAGCAATCAGGAGAACCCACACGTGCCCCTGTCAGGTCCAGGAGGAGACTAGACAAGCGGAGAAAGACTGCTAGTATCGATAATCGATAGTCCAGATACTAATCAAGCTATTGGAGCCTTTTAAGATAGTCTTTTTGATGTCGAAGCCGTTAGACCCATTGAAACATCAAAATTCCTTCCGTCTCTAGTCGAGCATGCAAGTGTGTGGCTAATTTGATGCCATTTTGTAGAGCTTTCC